ATACTACATACAAAATCATCCCATAAAATCAAAGACCTAAGTGTAGGAGCTAAAAACAACAAAATTCTTAGAAGAAAACATAGGCGGAAATCTTCAGGCAATGGTTTGTTAGATATGACACCAACAGCACAAACAAGATAAATTGGACTTTATCAAAATTTAAAACTTTTGAGCTTCAAAGGACGCTATTAGAAAGTGAAAAGACAACTAACCTGCAGAATGAGATAAAATATTTGCAAATCATATATCTGATAAGCATCTAGTATCTAGAATATATTAAAAAATTCTTGGGCCAGGCGTGGTGGCTCATGCCTGTAATCCCAGCACTTTGGGAGGCCGAGGCGGGTGAATCACGAGGTCAAGAGATCGAGACCATCCTGGTCAACACGGTGAAACCCCGTCTCTACTAAAAATACAAAAAATCAGCAGGGCATGGTGGTGCATGCCTGTAATCCCAGCTACTCAGGAGGCTGAGGCAGGAGAATTGCCTGAACCCAGGAGGTGGAGGTTGCGGTGAGCCGAGATCGCGCCATTGCACTCCAGCCTGGGTAACAAGAGCGAAACTCCGTCTCAAAAAAAAAAAAAACAAAAACAAAAAACTTACATCTCAACAATAAAAAGGCCGGGCACAGTGGCTCATGCCTGTAATTCCAACACTTTGGGAAGCTGGGAAGTAGGTGGATCACTTGGACTCAGAAGTTCACGACCAGCCTAGGCAAGCAACATGGCAAAACCTTTTTGCAGTTTTGCAAAAAGTTAAACATATGACCCAACAATATACTCCTAGATATGTACCATGAGAATTGAAAGCAAACATAAAAACTTGTACATAGACATTCAAGACAATATTATTCATAATAGCTCTGATATGGTTTGGCTGCGTCCCCACCCAAATCTCATCTTGAATTCCCACATATTGTGGGAGGGACCCTGTAGGAGGTGATTGAATCATGAGGGCAGGTCTTTCCTGTGCTATTCTGGTGATAGCAAATAAGTCTCACATGATCTGATGGTTTTAAAAAGAGGAGTTTCCCAGTTGGGTGCAGTGGCTCATGCCTGTAATACCAGCACTTTGGGAGGCCAAAGTGGGTGAATCACGTGAGGTCAGGAGTTTGCCACCAGCCTGCCCAACATGGTGAAACCCTGTCTCTACTAAAAATACAAAAAATTAGCCAGTGTTGTGGCAGGTGCCTGTAATCCCAGCTATTCAGGAGGCTGAGGCAGGAGAATTGCTTGAACCTGGGAGGTAGAGGTTAGTGTGAGCCGAGATGGTGCCATTTCACTCCAGCCTGGGCAACAAGAACAAAACTATCTCAAAAAGAAAAAAAAGGGGGAAGTTTCCCTGCACAAGCTCTCTCCTCTTATCTGCTGTCATGTGAGACATGCCTTCCATCATGATTGTGAGGCCTCTCCAGCCATGTGTAACTGTAAGTTCGTTAAACCTCTTTCTTTTGTAAATTGCCCAGTCTCAGGTATGTCTGTATCAGCAATGTGAGAATGGACTAATACAAGCTCCAAAGTGAAAACAACCCAAATGGCCATCAACTGACAAATAGATAATGAAAATGTGGTATATCCATTCAATGGACTATCATTCTGCCATAAATGAAATGAAGTACTAATATATGCTACAACAAGAACCTTGAAAACACTGTTAAATAATGTTAAAAAAAATTTTTTTAACTAAAAATCAGCTAAGCATGGAAGCAGTTACCTGTAATCCAAGCCACTGGGGATGTTGAGGTGGCAGGTTGATTGAGCCTGGGAGTCCAGTGCAGTGATCATACCACTGCACTCCAACCTGGGCAACACAAAAGGCAACATATTATATGATTCCATTTATATAAAATGTCCACAGTAGGCAAATCCATAGAGAGAGAAAGTAGACATGGTTGCCAGTGGTTGGTCAGGGGTAAATGAAGAGGGACTGTTAGTATGAGGTTTCTTTTTGAGTAATGAATATATTCTAGAATTAGAGAGTGGTAATTGTTTTGTTACATAACTTTGTAACTATGGTAAAAATCAGGAATTATACACTTTAGGCTGAGGCAGAAGAATCACTTGAACTGGGGAGGCGGAGGTTGTGGTGAGCCGAGATCGCGCCATTGCACTCCAGCCTGGATAACAAGAGCGAAACTCCGTCTCAAAAAAAAAAAAAGGTGAGTTTTATGGTATATAAATTGTATCTCAATTTAAAAAATACAACAGGAACAACAGAGGTATCTTTGCTTTCTTTTTTTGAAACAAAGTCTCACTCTGTCACCCAGGCTGGAGTGCAGTGGCACCATCTCAGTTCATTGCAACCTCCACCTCCCCAGTTCAAGTGATTCTTCTGCCTCAGCCTCTTCAGTAGCTGGGATTACAGGCATCCACCACCGTGCCAGGCTAGTTTTTGTATTTTTAGTAGAGACAGGGTTTCACCATGTTGGCCAGGCTGGTCTCCTGACCTTAGGTGATCTGCCCACGTCTGCCTCCCAAAGTGCTGGGATTACAGGAGTGAGCCACCACCGTGCCCTGCCCAATAAAGGTATCTTTTATTTACTATGTTGGGAAGACTGGGAAAAGGACACATGTAAGGGAGAAAGGAGAAATTCTGTTTTGGATATGGTAACTCTGAAATACCTAACAGACATCTAAGTGGATTTGTTTTGGAGATATTAGTCTGCAGTTTAGGGAAGAGAGATGGGTTGGAGATACTGCGCATAGTAAAATTGGGGAGAAAATTAATACATGTAAAACAGAATAGGCCAGGCACAGAGGCTCATACCTTGTAATCCCAGCACTTTGGGAGGCTGAGGTGGGAGGATCACTTGAGTCTAGGAGTTCAAGACCAGCCTGGGCAACATAGTTGAGATTAGTCTTTATAAAAAAAATTGAAAAATCATCTGGACGTGGTGGCATGTACCTGTAGTCCCAGCTACTTGGGACGCTGAGCTGGGAGGATTGCTTGAGCCTGGGAGGTTGAGGATGCAGTGAGCAGTGATCATGCCACTACACTCCAACCTGGACAACAGAGGGAGACCCTGCCCCCCCCAAAAAAAATGAAAAAACCACCCACTTAGAATAGTACCTGGAACATAGTAAAATCTATAAATATTAGCTATTGAATGTATATGGTAATAGCCAATTGTTCCAGCACGATGTGTAGAATTCTTTTCCCTCTGATTTATTATTATTATTATTATTATTTTAGACAGAGTCTTGCTCTGTCGCCCAGGCTGGAATGCAGTGGTTTGATCTCAGTTCACTGCAACCTCTGCCTCCCAGGTTCAAGAGATTCTCCTGCCTCAGCCTCCCAAGTACCTGGGATTACAGGCGTGAGCCTCGGCGCCTGGCCAACATGCAAATTTTTCTTACATATTTAAGGTATGTTTCCACCGTTGTATTCTTTTAGGTAGGAATTGTTTTAGGGGAGAGTAGTTTGGAAACCAAGATGCCTCTCAACTTTTCTCAATTAACTACACAAGAAAGTGAACCTACACCCGTTTCAGCTTTGCTATCTAGGGAGAAATCATGTAGATTCTTCCTACCTCTCAGAGGGTGATGTGAAGATAGATAAGATGCTAGGCAGAAAGTTCAGAAAGTTTAGTAACATAAAGCTGCAAAAGGAGAGAACAGAGAGTTCGTGGATAATATTTTAAGTCTCTTTTCTAAGCTGGTTAGTATATACTTTTTTTTAATTAAAAAAATATTTTAAGTCAACTACAATTTGTTAAATTTTAAGAAATTTATTTATTTATTTATTTATTGAGACAGGTCTCATTCTGTTGCCCAGGCTGGAGTGCAGTGGCCTGATCTGGGCTCACTGCAACCTCAACCTCCTGGGCTCAAGCGTTCCTCTCACTTAGCCCCCAAAATAGCTGGTACTACAAGTACAGGCCATCATGCCTGGCTAATTTTGTATTTTTTGTAGAGCTGATGTTTCGCCATGTTGCCCAGGCTGGTCTCAAATTCCTGGGCTCAGGCAGTCCTCTTGCCTCATCCTGCCACTGTTGGGATTACAGGCATGAGTCACTGCACTCAGCCTGTTTTTTTTTTCTTTTCCTGGTTTGTCTTGAGCAAGACATATACATTTTTGAATACAGACTTTGCATTTGATATTTCCCCCAAAATCTTCCCAAGGCTATCTTGTCATAATTCAACTCCTCGTTTAAGTGTTACTTCCTCAAAGAGGTCGCTCAAACACTATTAAGCTTCTTCCCCACTCCGAGTCACTTTCTGTCTCACCATCCTGAAGCACTTTTCACTATTTAAAACATTTGTGTTTATTGGCTTTTTAACTGTCTCCCCTTCCCCATTCAAATATAAATTCTACCTGGGTTGATAACTCCTTAACTCTAGGCTTAGAACAATGCTTTGCACGTAGTATGCCCTATGTTTTGTGAAAATATTTGCTGAATAATATAGTGATTTAAAAAAAAACCCAAGCAGTTTCATGTATCTCATTTGATCATTTCAACTATTTGAATAAAATGAGGCCGGTCGCGGTGGCTCACGCCTGTAATCCCATCACTTTGGGAGGCCGAGGCGGGCAGATCACGAGGTCAGGAGATCGAGACCATCCTGGCCAACCATCCTGGCCCGTCTCAAATTATTAAAAAATAAATAAATAAATAAAATGCGATTGCTAGTCCCATTGTACAGAGACTCAGAGAAACTTTTCACCCAAGGCAATAGGGCTAGGAAAATGATAGTGTTATAATTGCTCTACAGGTGGATTGCTTTGTCCATACATGGACTTCATTTCTAGGGCTAAGGGTATTTTAAATCACTTTGCCTTTAAGGAAGCGATGACTCTGAAAGATGGTAGTAACCACTACTACAGGCACCTGTAAAGATCCTCTCCTTTTTCCTTTTTTTCCCCCGCTCTACTCTGCAGGCGAACACGTGTGACCTGTGTGTACAGCACTCGCTCAGTCTCCCTCCCTAGCCCTGCCCACAATAAGCCCGGCCCCTTGTTTTCCTGGAGCCCCGCCTCTCGGCCGCTTTCCAACTAAGCCCCCACGGATCTCGCCCTTCCCCCCGGCCGCATGATTTCTCGCGAGAGTTAAGCGCGCCTGACCGGACGGGAGGAAAGTATCCGCTCTGCCGAGGGGGGAAAGAAGGAGCTGGAGATAGATTGTAGGACAGAGTGCGGGCAGGCGGGAGGCAACGGAGCTACCAGCCGGTAAGTACTTTTAACATTAGCTAGTCCATGATCTGACGGGAGTCTCCCTTTCAACTCTGGCCAGTCCCAGCGTTCCAGGCTGGGGTCTCCCCTCCCAGTGTGTGTTGGACGGGGGCGCTGAGGCGGTGGCCGGGCCCTGTCTGAGGAAGAGGGTGGGGCATAGGCCAAAGCTGACCAATGGGGGAGAAGGAAACCTCGATTGGCGGCAATGAGCGCTAATGAGAGATCGCTTTTTCCTTGCCGAGCACCGCCCTCTTCTCTCTCTCTACTCCCGCCTCCTTCCTTGGGGAGGGGGAAGGCGGGGCCAGAGACTTGAAGTGTGGGGAGAACTTGGGGTAAGTAGCCCCGGGGGGCACAGGGCGTGGCAAGGAGAGGGGAATTGAATCCTGAGGGAACGGTAGTCTAGTGGAGCCTAAAGGAGTGATCACAGGATGGGGTGGAATGGTAGAAAGAGGAGGGATACTAAACTAGGTTAAGAACCCAGGGCTTCCCAAAGAGTGGGATTAGGAGCTTGGAATTGGAAAAGGGTAATAGGTAGGAGGTAGGAATGAGGAGATGAGAACAAAGATCTTGGTCTGGTGACACAACACCCGTTGGGTTTGACAGGAAAGATAGATAGGGGTAGATTATTGGAAATGAGGGTCATCGCATTTCGATTGAATTAATAAAAAGAACATCAGGGACGTGATATCAGAGAGAAAGTATGGATTTGGAGAAAGTTAAGTGAATGAGTTTAAGAGGACAGCATGGGTGAGCTGAGTCTCCATAAGGCATGGTTTCTGGAAGTATATGAGCCTTGAGAGCGATGAGAGAGGTGTTTGGGAAGGAGATGACTGGTATACATATGTCTTTTGCTTAGGTATCAGGTGGTTGCGATATTGATTTAGGGCTTCTGATGGATATGGCACCCAGACTGGTGACCAGCCTCCAAGATGCTGGCATGGGGGTTGAGGAGAAAAATAGCCCTTTCATCACTTCTCTGATTTTCTTTCTCCCTCTCTTCCATTTCCCAAACTCTTGAAACACTGGGATGTGGGCTTGGAACTTAAGCAGTCCAAGTTGGAGCCCCATAGGGACTTATATGTTGCTCTGAATTGCTTGTTATGTTCTCTGACTGGGGTGTTTACAACCCAGGGTACCTCCTACCCAGATTCCCGCGTTGCTACTTTCCTAACTTTAAAAGTTTTTTTTTTACTTAAAAGAGGGTATTTTAGTATCTCTGAGGGTCATGTCATATTAAAGTACAGGTGTGTAGGGGGTGTGCAGAGTTTTCTTAGGAAGCTCACACGAGTCCTGTGTTTAAAAATTGTACAGTAATTTAATTCTTGTAGAGATATCGGTCTTTATGGGCATTCTAAGCAGAAATATACCAAAATGAAGTTTGTTTTGTTAATCGTGGCTTCCCTGGTCATTCTCAAAGAGTTGTCAAATGGGTGGTTGCAGTTCGTTTTAGTTAGCTTATATAGTATGTTTTTAAATGGTGTAAATAAAATAGACATGTTATTTCAGGAAAGTGAAAAACGTTCAGTTTTTTTGCTTTGTGTCCACACTCAGAAACTAAAGATCTGCCATAGTATCTTAGGCCAAGGGCTGGGGAAATCAAACACAATTTGTACTTAAACATGGAAGATGTAAGGTAAGTGGAGGCTATTGCGAAATGTTAACATGTCTGTAAGAAAAGAAGCTAAAGAAAAGTTTGGCAGCTCTACTAAGTAGTCTTACCAGTTCTTAATTCTGTACAGAAAAGGGACAGGGCTTTGCCCTTTGTTTGATAGTTGTGTATCATTTAATAATAAATTGGACTAAATATAGCCAATTAATAGCCTCTTTAGTATTGCATAGATTTTGCTTTTACGTTCCTTCTCTTCTCCTTTTACTTTTGAGAAGTGAAATAATGTCTGAAATACCAGTAAAGCTATTATATGAAGAGAAACCACAGTATGTAGTTGTATTAACCTTTGGTTTTCTGCAACCATTTGAAGCTTTTCTCCCTGGCCAAGAAGTTACCCCTATAGCACATTGAGACCAATTCATTGCTGACCCTATAGCATTAACTACTGAGCTGGGTTCTAGAATTTCACAGTAAGAGCATTGCTATTGGACATTCACAACATTTTTCAGTTTGGCTGGCAGCAGCACAAAAAAATACTCAGTGAGAGAGCAGAGTCCCTTGTTTTGGTCTTCTGTCCTAGAATTTGTGATGGCTTTGACTAGGGCACTATTAAACCCAAGATTATTTTTTTAGTGTTACCATCTAGGAGAAAGCTAGAGTGATAACACTGCTCATCTTTCAACTTGTGGATCGAAGTTTAGTTTCAGTGTTGTAATTTTTAAACACCTTTGTTTACCACGGTTTAAAAATGTTAATAGCTCCACGTCCTGTATCTTGTTCTCTTTCCTCTCCTCATTTCCAACCCAAAATGAAAATTGTTTTTTCAACCACTCTTAAGCTCCTTCTTTGCCTGGAGTAAAGTCGCTGGCTATGGCTGAACACAGCTGCTCTGAAGTTCTCAGAAGTTATTGTTTTGTGCATGTCAAGACTGAGTTTTTCCTAGGCCACAGGGAGAGGGAGTTAGTGTTACCGCAGCCTCCTATCCACGTCTGATAAGGAGGAGCCTTCTCCTTGCAAGGAAGTTTTAGGTGGGGCAAATAGAACTCCATGTAAATGTCTAATAAAGCCAGCTCTCTTCTTGAGACTAGTTGGCATATTGTCATATAATTGTCCCTTATCCCTTGATAAAACTACTAAAGTTAAGGTACAGATGTTTCTTTGAGAAAAACAAATGCAGCATTCATTTAAAAGGAAAAAGCATTCTTTTCTTTTGTTTGTTTCTCAGAAAATGGTCCTATAGTTTTGGAGTTCATGAAAAAGTCTTCTGTCTCTTTAAAACCATGTCAAAGAAAATAATTTTTAAGCTTCTCTGACATTTACTCATTTTGACATGTTGCCTTCCCCTAAGAGGCTTTTTTTTTTTTTTTTTAGGAAGTATCAAATAAATCCATGATAGGTGAAAACACATCATATTTGGTATCCCTGATGGTTGGTCTTTTAACTTCTGAACACTCTAAGGAGAAAGTCTCCACTTCATAGATACCCTGTTCCATTATTGAAGCTTTACTCCAATAAAGTAAAGCTCCATTATTGAAGCTTTACATTTAGAACATTTTTTACATTGTGCTGAAGCTCTTTAGTTCTGTTATTTGAAGCCACAATAAATAAATTTAATTCCTTGTTAACATGGTAGTCTTCAAGTATTTCATAACACTTATCTCTTTCATTCTTCTAGAGACAGGGTCTTGCTATGTTGCCCAGGCTGGAGTGCAAGTGATGTGATCATAGATCATAGATCATTGCAACCTCAAACTCCTGGGCTATTTCTAGCCTCCTGAATAGCTAGGATTCTTGGTCTCAAGCAGTCCTCCCAGCCTCCAAGTAGCTGGCACCACAGGCACATGCTGCCACACCTGGCTAATTTTTAAGTTTTTGTAGAGATGGGGGTCTCCCTACATTGCCCAGGCTCTTTCTCAAACTCCTGGGCTCAAGCCATCTCCCTACCTTGGCTTCTCAAAGTGCTGGTATTACAGGAGTCATCTCTTCCTGGGTAAATGCCTTAAGTACTTTGAGCTCTTTCTTTGTTTTCTTTCTTTTTTTTTTTTTTCCCTGGAGTCTCGAAGTGGCACCTAGGCTGGAATACAGTGGTGCGATCTCCACTCAGTATAACCTCTGCCTCCCGGGTTCAAGTGATTCTCCTGCCTCAGCTTCCTGAGTATCTGGGATTACGGGCACACACCACCATAGCTAATTTTGTATTTTTAGTAGAGACTGGGTTTCACCGTGTTGGCCAGGATGGTCTTGAACTCCTGACCTTGTGAGCCACCTGCCTCAGCCTCCCAAAGTACTGGGATTACAGGTGTGAGCCACCTAGCCTGGCCTCTTTCTTTTTTTTTTTGAGACAGAGTCTTGCTGTGTTGCCCAGGCTGGAGTGCAGTGGTGCGATCTCAGCTCACTGCAACCTCCACCTTCCATATTCGAGCGATTCTTGTCCCTCAGCCTCCTGGGTAGCTGGGAGTATAGGCACCCGCCATCCACACCCAGCTAATTTTTATATTTTATGCAGAGATTGGTTTCACCATGTTGGCTAGGCTGCTCTTGAACTCTTGACCTCAAGTGATCTGCTTACCTCGGCCTCCCAAAGTTCTGGGATTATAGGCATGAACCACCGAGCCCAGCCTGAGCTATTTCTTAATATATTTATTAGATATAATCTAATAAATACAAACTACAGGCCAGGCACGGTGGCTCAAGCCTGTAATTCCAGCACTTTGGGAGGCCAAGGCAGGTGGATCATGAGGTCAAGAGATCGAGACCATCCTGGTCAACATGGTGAAACCCCGTCTCTACTAAAAATACAAAAAATTAGCTAGGCATGGTGGCGCGTGCCTGTAATCCCAGCTACTCAGGAGGCTGAGGCAGGAGAATTGCCTGAACCCAAGAAACAGAGGTTGTGGTGAGCCGAGATCGCGCCATTGCACTCCAGCCTGGGTAACAAGAGCAAAACTCCATCTCAAAATAAATAAATAAATAAATACATACATACAAACTAGAGGGAAGCACAGCTTCTATTTTACTGTACTCTATGCCTCTTTTCTTAAAGCCTAAAATCACATTAGTTTGTGTAGTTGATTTTTTTTTTCCCTTGAGGCAAAATCTTGCTCTGTCATCTTGGCTTACTGCAACCTCCACCTCCCAGATTCAAGCGGTTCTCCTGCCTCAGTCTCCCGAGTAGCTGGGATTGCTGGCTTCTGCTACCACACCCAGCTAATTTTTTTGGATTTTTAGTAGAGACAGGGTTTCACCATGTTGGCCAGGCTGGTCTCGAACTCCTGACCCCAAGTGATCCACCCACCTCCGCCTCCTAAAGTGCTAGGATTACAGGCATGAGCCACTGTGCCAGGCTATGTAGTTGATTTTTTAATGTAATTGACAACTTTACGTTTAT